GGAAGCACCTTGACCACCCTCCCCTACTCCGTCTGATCTGCTCGCAACCTGCTTGAGCGAGTCGAATCGCCGAGCAGTCAGGATGAGTTTCAGGTTCTTCGGCGACGTTCGCGCGAATTCCAGCGCTGTGCCTTGCCGATGCCTGACGATGCTCCGGTCACTAAGATCGTCTGCCGTCAAGGCGTTTGCCCATCGCGGTGGCCATCGTCCGTCTCGTGTAGGTGCGGTGGACGATCTGAGCGAGTGATGCTGGGCTAGAGCTAGAAAGCGAGGGCCCGGCTGTTACTTAGAGCGATCGATCGGGAGTCAAGGGCGCCTAGGTTTCTGATAAATGTTCGCAGACGCAGCATGGATGTAGGCAGAGTGTAAATTGGCCCCTTTTCCCTTTCCTTTCTTCTTCTCGTCCTCTGTACCTCGTCGTCGTCGTCGTTGTTTATATCGAGAGCTGCGATGCGACTTTCTCCCCGCAGTTTTCCCTCTTTGCCGGATTAGTCAGCCGGCTTAGGGCTTAGCGCCGATATTAGCCATGGTCATGTGACGTCACTAAAAAATAACACGGAAAAAGGAGGAAAAGGAGAAATATCTAGAGAGATGCCATGCTATCTGCAGATAGAGAGGCCCCTACGTTTGTACAGAGATGCTTGGGATAATACCTCGTGCTTTTATAGGCAAGACATTCTCTAGAAAGATAGGGAAACTAAGATATCCAGCTTTCTTGTAACTCTCTACTGCAGAGTTGTTGCTTTAGGACACACTGCTGTCTAATATGTACACCCTGTTCTGTCTTTATACCTTCTTATCAGCCTCCTATCACTCTATGCTTGATACAAAAGATAGTTAGTGAAGGTATATTCTGGATTAATCAAGACATAGCAGATATGCGAAGAGCTTGCTTCTCTCTTGTATTTTAGCCACATAGAAGGATAGCTGTGAATATCCAAAGAAGAAGAAGCTCTCTTTTCCAGCCTTGCTACTCTTATATCACTATACCCACAGTATTGCTTCCTGATAATGCAGACAGAGTTTGGTTCTATAAGATATACTGTTGTATTAAGGGTATATCTATTATATGCCAACATCTTTAACTGGCTGCTCGCTAATGTCGTTATGCCTACCTTCTTTACTAGTAATAGGACGCCGAGCATGCTCATTCGCTCAGATAGAGCCAGAAGTCTACAAAAGGGCCTTCACGATGTTGTCTTAGTCCTGCCCTAAAAGAGGGAGTCAGGGAGGGCAAGGGCACACGCAACAGGATGGCCCTTTGCTCTTCTTCTCATCCTCCCTCTCTTCTCCCTCCTCTCTTTCCTGTCATCACCATCATCTCACATATTAAAGACATCCTCAAGCTTCTCCAGCTGTTTAATTCAAGTCGTCTTTCAAGCTCACCACTTTTCATTGTATCGACCGTGCCGTATACACTCCAGACTATTCAACCTTTGACTCGACTGATATCCCGGCTGCTCGAGTCATCTCCCTTTGAAGCATCCTACAGTACGACAGACAGCAAACAGACTGCCTGTCAAATTTGGGACTCGTCACCGCAGAGACTCCTTGTTCAGCTCAGACTCCGTGGTCGGATTCACAGACTGCTAGCCAGTTATGGCCCACGAAAACCATATAGACTGGCGGCCCTTGACCCAGAAAGTCCTCGAGAAATGGGCACTCGCATCCGGTCCAGAACTCCCTGAGCCTCGTCACTGCACGATCAGCTCTCCATCACGCTTGAGAGAGTCCGGCCCGTATGCCGTGGCGTACTTCTACCTCGTCACTGCAGCAGAGCCTGGTCCCTGGTATGTGATTGAGAGTGCGTTGTGGGACACGGAGAAGAACTTCAAGCTTCGTGAAGCTACCTTCATCGTCCCTTGCCGTGATCCTCCTTCTGCCAGCCATCCGTTTGTCTGCGAATGGGACAATGGCTTGCATGTCTATATCGTTCGTCATCTCAAGGGGGCTAAAAATCTCACTGTTGTCAAAGAGGCTACGAAGAAGAATAGTAAGAAGAAACCAAGAAAATCACCCAAGAAGAAGCCTCAGAAGATGGAGGATGACTATCCTAGCGGTATGGAATCGTACGATGGTACCTCGGATGAGCCAGAGGGCAGCTCTCGTCATACTACCAACGGGCAACAAGATTCCATTGGTGACGTACTCGACACTCAGCCTCGGGCGTCTCCCCACGATGGCTCTCCTGCTGATGAGAAGCCATCTGATTCTGAAAAGATGGCTGCTTCAAATGAGGAGGAGTCTTCGTCTTCTTCCCCTGAGTCTGATGCCTGCGACGAAGATACGCCTGCGTCAAGTCAGTCACACGATAACATCGGAAATAGCTCTTCAGAGAAGCCCATGGACACTGATGACTTCGACACTGATGACTTCGACACTGATGAGATCGACACCGAGGTCCCCAGCTTCTTCAAATACTCCGAGTCTGACGAGGAAGAAGATATTCAAGGGTATAACGCGGCAGATTATGAATGCTGCCGGCAAGACACCGAGCTTTCTGAAGAAGCCCTTGACGAGATTTACTCTCGAGACCAGGCACAGGACGAGAAAACCGCGGTCCATCACTA